TGATGCAGACATCTTCTGCTGCAGGTGCTCTAGCAGCGCGTTTTCGTAATTTGAAAACACCTCTAGACGCGAACCGATTGCCTCAGGGCCTTGCGCCACAAGGTGCTGCACGCCCTCAGGTCCAAGCAAGGACATCAGCTTGATAAGCCCGTCCTGCATGCCCTGGGGCAAAGAGGAAATTTCTTCCACCCTCACAGAGGATCAGTCTAAACGACTCAGGTGTAGATCGACTACAAATGCTACCAAGTGCAGCCGGGCTGCCGAAGCTTTGCGCTTGAAAAGCGTAAGCTAGGTCACCGACCTCTTGTCCTATACTCAGACAAGTTCGAGTTTAGCGGATCGCAATCCGCTTACTCTAGTTAACCCAAGGCTAATAAACTCTTCGGTTTAAAGTCAAGACTGACTTTTTTTATTTTTATCTGCGGCAAAGCCGCTTGATTTTAAACGCATAGATTTTCCTATATATGTGTAGTAAAATCTAAATACATGTATAACTACTGGGTATCCAGCCCCGTACCGTATTCTTGTTTGGGTGTGGTCACACCATGCCCATCTGGTGTGACACACACACCTGTTACCAGGGTATGTGTATCCCCGTTATATCTTCCCGCATTCAGATGAAAAAACGTTCTTCATCCCGACCTCAAAATCTTATATGCTCTCATATACGATCTTTCGGTGAAAATCATTTGTTCCACTGGCTCCCAGTTGGGGTGATCTTGTAGGCGTCTCAACAGCGGATTTTCAAACTGGTAGTGCCATTAGGCGAGCTTTTTTTCGCCTCCGGTCCTTTGGCTGCCAACACCCTAAATGGTGTGGTGTACACAAGATGATGTTACCACACAATGTTGTGGATATAATCATGTCCGTACGTAGCTGAAACAGCCAGCAGCTATACATTTAATTAGATTTTACTACATAGGTAGAAAAACTTATAGATTCAGATATAGACGGCTTTGCCGCAGATAAAACCAATAAACACAGGTTTACATTTTAGACGGCAAAGTTAATCAGCCTTGGGTCAACGTTGTAGTTACTCTTGGAGGAAGCGGATTGCGATCCACTACACTCGTACTGGTACTAAGTATACGAAGGTCACCGACCTGAACTAAGCTTCCTCTATGCGAAAGACTACGGCAGCCCTGCTGTAGGTATTCAATATGTAATTTTTCATCCTCGTAGATGGTTGAATTCTCATTGGACTCGGTTGTGGGTTTGAAATAAGATGCAGCGTGCTGCCGTAGCTCTTTGCTTAAAAGAAGCTTGCTCGGGTCACCGACCTTACGTTCTATACCAGAACCAGTACGAGCGTAGCGAATCGCAATCCGCTACCCTCAAAAACACCCAAATTTCTTACTCAAGGCATAACACTCATCCGCCAAAAATTGAAACTGTATTTATTTACTTTATTTGCGGCAGAGCCGCCTTTATCTCAAACCTCCGGTTTTTCTAATTGAATAGTAAAACCTAATTAGTATGCATGACCATTGGCAGTCCCGCCACGTAGTGGCTTCTTGTTACGGTGTAGCCACACCTTGGTGTGATTGCACCAACTTGTGTAATCCACACCGGTCACACCATCTTTTGTGACCCACCCCTGTGTACCGGGGTACGTGTAAACTCGTTACAAAAGAGCTACCAAGTGCAACGGGTTTTTTAAGGAGGAGGCTTCGACTTTGATAGTCAGCATTGACAAATGCACAGAGGCTGGACTCTAATGCTTCGAACAGGAGCGAAACCTAGAGTATCTACCTTAATCAGGTGTCTAGTTAGCTATTATACTGAAGATTAGACTGGTTCTAAAATTTTACCTGTTACTTTCACGACCTCGCTTAAAATCCTCAATA